CTTTCCCTAATCAGAAAATCACTTACCATTTTTGACGCATCATTCATGAGCGGAACAATGAGAACAATAATGTTGTTGTGGAAATTAAAGTGGGGCAGGGCCACAAGCAGCTCACACAGACACTTCACTGCAATCTCTGCTAAACCTTTATATGCTTTTAATGAGATGACATTGCTTTTCTTCAATTTCCTTTGTTTCCAATCTGCACAAAATATTATTCTCAGTGATTACTGTTCATAATGCAGGGGAGCTTCTAAATATTTACATTTTTAGTTATACAGGCATTCAAGTACTATTTCAAAGACAGAAAGCAGCATTCAATCACAGGAGGTAAACTGTGATGCCGCAAACAATTTTGCATTTACTACAAAAAATGGGGAATGCTGACTGTACCTTTAATTGTTTGCTCCAGATTTTCCAAGTAAAATTTATACTGGCTTACAAGGCCTTCTTCAAATTCTCTCAGTTTCTGAGTTTCTTTTTTAACCTGTAAACATAATACAAATTAAATTTTATTGGGAGAGCTAAATCCTGAAATCAGCCAGTGGTGAAAAAAAAAAAAAAAAAGAAGTTTTGAAAAATACTACTTAGGTATCTGATATTTGGGGTTTTTCTAGACAGACATTTCCAGAAATGTATTTAAATAAAATATTTCTATATATTTGTATACAAGTTCTTGTGCTCAGACGGCCTTTTCCAACTACAGCTACTTCATTTATAGGGACTGAAGTGAAATTTCTAACTAGATGTTATTTTAAAGCCATGACTCTGAACACCACTACTTATATTCAAGAAACCTTCTAAAGAATTGGTTAAAAACAAGCTCCAGAAAACAAGTTACTCTGCATTTGTTCAGCAAATTATTGAACACATTCAAAAATAATTTGTGCCAGTTAGGTGACAATATTGCATAATTTGCCTCCTTTCTAGTTCCCTTCAGTGTGACACAAAACACCGTCTTATTCCAAGGTTCATGAAGAAAAGCCACCCGGGTTCGGTATACTACTTTCATACACTATTTTTTTCCTCCATTACCACCAGCGTGCCACCTACTTATTGAAGGAAGTAGATAAGAATTAAATGTTCAAAACAAAGAAAGTGTCACTGTTTCAGAATTCCCACAAGTACTTGGGTATTTGTCACCCTTTCTTCAAAACCATAAATTCCTATTAAGCAAATCAGTATTAGTATCTGGCATAACTTGAAAAAATCTGAACTACTCACAATACTCTATAAAGAAATTTTATGTTTCACCTTGGTAGCCTTTTCTGCTTCAGTCAGAGGCCGGATTTTGTAAGAAGGCACAATATCTTTAAATATCTCCATCAAAGAAACCATGACCAGCTTCCGAACAATCACAGCCACGTTAGGATCCTGTTCCATCAGCATGGCACGCAGTTCCTTCAGCTTTTTAATCTGATAAAGAGAAAAGGCAGACAAAGTCAGCTCAACATCACACACAAACTACTGTACAAGCACAATCTACATTTCAGCAAAAGTTTGCCACAAGAAACATGCCCCATTTTTAAGTACTGGAAAGAGAAAGCCTTTATCTCAGCAGTTACTCAGACTCTACTTAACACTGCATAAAGAGCAAAGAAATGATAGATATCCCAACATTTTTTTTTAATCTTGGGAATGCTCAAACTACTCTGCTATTACAAAATTGCACAGAATTATAGAAAATTACTAGCATATCCTGAAACATCGAGAACTATCAGATACAACCCTGAAATCAGAGATTAAGGAACAAGGTAGTTTGGAAAGGAAATACCATAGACAGTATTATTCCTAAACCCACCAGTGTTCAGAGGGACAAATTACTCCTTAACAGAGCAAACACAGTCACCTGGATTTTCACCTGATTCCAATCATTTGTACCAAGCCATGGCACCTGCTTACCACCCTCTGAGAAGCCATACAACACTGACCTTTTTCCTTGTTCTACACAATGCTTTTGCTATTGTTTGGTCACTTCAGATCTTTATTTATTGACTTACTGCACAACACAGGCACACATAAATGCTTGTTAAGTAAACGCTACCTACACTGTTGTCTGGCTCAGAGAGAATGGCGGATGCTAACGCAGCTATGTGCATCTTCCTTTCCTGCAGCTTTTGTCTCCTTTGAGCAGCCATTTCTTCAGGAGTGAGAACAGGCAGGGGTTCTTCACTGAAGTCTAGCACAAGGTGTGAGAGTTAGAAAAGAAGGTCACTAGGGAAGACACTTAAGAAATACCATATTGCAAACTACAGTTCTAGATTTCATTTCAGATGGTTACCGCGATAACCCCACATGCAGTTCCACAGTAAAAGAAGCTTTAAGAATGACCTTGCTAGAGCTTATGTTAACTCAGAGATTAATTTTTGCTCCACTCCAAAATCTTATGCTTGAAAAAAGAAATGGACTAAATGTTTTTTAATCTGCAAATAGTATTCCCTAAGTACAAAGGGGAACATATAAACTCAACATATGACCCCAACTGTGCCAAGAAACTGCAGTGCTCTCCAATTTGCAGCAAATGATTACAATTGTTTTATTTGTGTTTTCAGAGTATTAGTTTCAAGTATGTTCTTCCTCAACTTCAGATTATCTTTAGAGAATAATGACCCAGAATTAGCAGAGTTACAACTGCAACTGTTATTTGAATATGACTCTTAACTGGATAGTGAACTGCAAATCGAAATCTGAATTTCCTGGTATTCTGATGTGTTAAGTAAAAAAGTTTAAAGACAAAACCAGATACTCAAAAGCCTACACAAGTCTGTGTCCTGAACTGCATTTCAGAATGATCTCAGAGTAATCAAACTAGAACCACAGCATATATTCTTTAAGTAAGACCAAGATTTGCCTTCTCACTAGCAAAGATGACACAACTGACATAAGCAACCTCATGCAAACATCAGTTTCAGGTGAAAAATCGAAATAATTTTAAAGAAAGAGATTCCGAAGCCAGCTGTTCCTCAGGTAAGAAAGCAAGCTTTCAATGACTGTTATGCTTTGGGGGCAACATAGTAATGAACATATTCAAACCGCTCTAAACAAAATACAGTTAAATTACAAACTTCCTTAGGGAACAGCCAAGTACTCTTCAGATATGTCAGTGATTTGGAAAAAAACAACAACAAAACAAGAAAAAGCAAACGTTGTGTTATTACCCTCTGCTTCCTCCATTTCTTCTGTATCATCTTCATCCTGTGCAACACTGAGAACTGCAAAAATAGAGTGTCTAGGTCAGGCAAGTAACAAAACCTGTGGGATTTTAAAATAATAAATTATATACATCTTGGCTACTATGCCAGTTCCGGAATCTGTGTCTTACCTGGCTTTTCCATAGTTTGGGGAATAATGCCACCCTTATCTTTGATGGGGAGCAGATGGATGAGTTCTTTTTCTGGCTCAGTCTGCATGCGTCTTGGCATCTTCTCATATTTGTCAATCACATTTTCATGTTTTCGTTTTCTGATGTGAACAGGTTCACTGAAAAATACAAGGCAAACTAAATGAACTACCCATCTAGTTAGACATGAACTATGTATGACAGCATATTAACTGGATTAAGTGTCTGCACTTAGAAAAATAAATAATGGCTGATCTTATTAAGTGGAATGTTTGAGTGTGTTCACCATTGACAGCACCAGTTACCACTCAATCCATGTTAATATGGATCTCTATAGGATCTTTGAATTCAGGAGCATACAGTGCTTCCCATCCCTTTTTTATAGGAAACTCAATGTGAAGTGAGCAAAGACAAAATGAGATTTAGTTAATCTGGCAGGTTTGCCAGGCAAAATGCCTTATCATAATGAATGCAAGAACTGCGTCTTGTAAAATGTCACTAAATAAAAATACACAATAAATTCTGAGTTTTGCAAGATTTTAAACTTAGGTGACATCCAGTTTGTTTACGGGGAGGAGAAGGTTTAAAGTCAAATTCTTTTAATTCAAGAACTGCAATGTGGCTACAAGAGACTATACAGTAGAGTACAGCACAATTGCAACTCTGGAAGTAAAAAGCCATTTACTACTTTCCTGAGAAACTAGATTAAATTATTAATTAGTAACAAACTGATTTGTACTATGATTAGCAAAAAAAAAAAAAAAAAAAAAAAAGGCTAGAAGAAATGCTGTCTCTTCTTCAAAACAATGAAAAAATTATTTTTGCTCATTTCAACATTTAGTCTGAAACAACTGCTCCAGAACTAAAGAAAACTGAATCTTACAGGGAAAATTAAAACCACTCTACAGCAGCGAGGCATACAGAGTCTTTTCACACTCATCAAAACAGGCAAGTTAAGATTTGCAAACAATCATGTAACCAGACTAATCCATAGAAGTGTATTTGTAAAGACTTACAATTATAGAACCAGAAGCACTACCCTTCTGTGTATTTCATTGCAAACTCTACCTAACACCTTGCTCCAGAAAACTGGTAATGAATTTATTGTATTTTTACAGCCATTTGCAATACAATATGGAAAGTATAGTGGCCAAAGTGCAGAGAATGTCCCAAATAGTCTATCTAAAGACTCTGTATACATATGAAAGAATTTTTTCTAGTTTGAGGAATGCTACTCATCTCACAGCCAGGGACCTCACAGGAGGGAACACTGTGCAGAAACAGTATCCTGAAGGTCAGGCAGAGCAGGTGAATGTACTGATACACATCAGTACATTAATACTGAATGTACTGGCAGATGAAGGAAACACTAAACTGGAACTGCAAAGAAACACCAGACTGAAAGTGACCTCCTGATATATGTAATACATTACGTATTAATTACATATTAACCACACAACCCTAAATTAGTATGAAAAGTAGATATCACAACAACACTCACTCAGAAGAAATATCTCTGGTTAAAAAAGATGCCTTTTGAGCCAAATCTTCCATTAATTTTAAGTCATCTTCATCCATCATGTCCAGTGGAAGAGCATCTTCTTCCTCTTCTTCCCATTTTTCAGCTATTTTAGAAGATGATGTGTACAGATTAAGATCCTGTACATATGTTCAAACTTGAAAACCTAACCATGCCTACACCTGTGAGACTATTTAACACCTTACTTCAATGTGGAGCTCATCAACCTTCACGCACGTGTTTTGTGTTATCCCAGAAAACTGCCCCTTTATTGTGGCACTCAATAATTAGACCAAACATCCAATAATGATTAGACCAAACACCTTTCTACCATCTCCAACTGTCAGATATTGTTAACAGAATGGCTACATTTTATATGTTTCATAACTGTCCCTTTCTTTCCTTTAAACAAGAACAGCAATTATTTGTACACAGAAAATCAAATGTTATTTTCTCGATACATATCTCGATACAATCTTCCAACATGAAGCAGTAGGATATTTTGTAACCCTCATACCTCTTCACTTACCAAAATAACTCTGAGCAAACACTTACCAACTTGTTTTTTCTTGCATTCTTCCAATGGAAAAGGTTTTCTAGAGATAGCATCTCTGACAGCCTCCCTTAGCTTCTTTTGTTCTTTTCGATACTTCTTAGCAGCACTCTGCTGCTTGTACTGCTTATTCTTTAATTTGTTGTCAAGTTTTATTTTACTAGTTCTCAGTAACTTCCTAAAGCTTGGAACTCGTTTTGTGTTTTTTCTCTAGGAAACAAACAGAAAACTACAAATAACTGACATGTTCATAGCCTTTGTGAAATTTATGTTGCTATTTCATATCTCATTCAGTTCATATTTCTATCAGTGCTGGACAGTGTTTCTTCCAAATAGTATCAGGAGTTAGCTCCAAATTTACACAACTGCATTAAATTTTTGAGAAGAGGGACATGCAAAGAATGTTTTACAAAAACGTTCTTAGACAATTTTTTTATTAAACCCCACGTCCATCACTTTTAGACACATGAACACTCAAGGTGTGGTAAATAGACTGTTAGGGCACAGTTCTTTGCCTCGTGTGCTCCCAAGCACTCTGTCTCCTCTCTCCAGCATGCCCTTCTTCCCCAGCGCTCGATAAGGTTAGGAGGTTCTGGTACAAGGCCCACAGCCTCAGGCAAATGTCCTCCTGCAGCATCCTTCCCTGTACTGAGCTTTGGCTTTCTCCTGCCCCAGACTCTGCATGACAGGTAGCTGTGTGGATGAGAGGCAGCTGTCTGCTGCAAGGTTCAGAACAGGATGATGCATGAGCTGTGTACGTGTTATGGGTGCCACAGCTCAGGGAGCCACAGTGGTCAGGAGGAAGAGGGCTGAGGGAAAGCCCAGAGGTGCAGATCAGTACAGGTGCAGATCAGTATGGGCACCCAGTGTCAAAACTGCAGAACGCTCCCAGGTGTGTTCAGGATGGGAACGACAGCACAGCTTATCTACTGAGGGGCACCAGAGAGAAAATGGGAGTCTTGGTAGGGGCAGATGTGTCCCTTTGGTAAGGGGACAAGTGGCTGGACCACTGCGGGGCTCATTGAATCTGGAATTTTTGCCAGTTCACCTTCCCTTTTTAGTTTTGACTACTGGGAAAGCGCTGCCGCTTGTCCCTACGCCACACACGCATCACCGTGAAGTAGAACCGCTACAGACAGCAACGGCCCTGCCTGAAAGGCGGCGGGGGCTCTGCTTCGCCTCCCCTGACGCCACCTCGCAGCCCGAGTACTGTGAGCAAGGCACGCTGCGGCCCTCCCTGCTCTCCATTACAAATCCGACACCACACGCCCCGCTATAACGAACACTAACGATATATTTCTCCTTCCGTGCCTCAGCTTTAGCAGAGGCACCTCCGAGAGGCGGGAGATCCAAGGTGGATTGTGCCG